ACTGACAGATTTCACTCTGGAGCTGTAACAGAACCGAGGTAGACGATTCTCTCTGAAATTTGATTAATATGTGTTTTCATGTTTATAGATTGATTTGGGTGAGTGGCATTTATTTTGTCATTTGTTGTCGCTCTGCAGTGTTTACAGAAATGCATTTGATTCTTATTAATTATGCTTTAGATGTTTGGAGCGTCAACTTTAAATGATGCGGTTTTCTTTACTACCTTGACTTATTTAATGTGCAGAGACCTAATCACAGTGACACATTGGTACTTGAATTGATAAATATTTGACTAAAGAAAACAAACGTCCCATGCCGTGCGCATCCTTTGGCATTCCTCTATACCCTCCATGATCCTCCTCCATTGTAGGTTAAGCGGTCAGTGTTGTTTCAGCGGTTTGGATTAACACTCAGACTCTCCTGTAGCAGACCATAAACAGATTAGTTTAGCCCAAGTCAGGGCCTGGCTGCACCATCTGTACCCAGCTCTGGGTGGGGAAGGGGACATGGGGGAGGAGTGTGAGCAGATGTTCCAGTGGAGCTGTAGGTCAGTGTGACAGTGCAGCTGAGGGACTTCAACGTAAAGACGTAGGGGCAGTTTAGGCGGCTGAAGGGAGAGACGCTGACTGATTTAATGTCTTGCCGATCCCTCAGAGTTCAAACCACGCCATTCTGTCATGGCTCTAAGATGCTGTCTCATATCCACATCCCGAGGTACTGTATAATTTACAGAGGCTTTAATTGAGCTGCATGTGCCTCCCTTCTCTCTCTGCTCTTCATGCACTACCACTACACTTCAGCGGTTGGACGAACATGCCCGCACTTTGTTTGAGCGTTGTTACAAGATGTAAGATGATGAGAAAGTGTCCAGCTTCTCCTCCGCTGGTTTCAAAGGTATTTGTTTGAATGTTTTGCTCGGTTGGTTTAACCTGTGTTGTAGAGTGTGAAACAAATCCAACTGTGGGGAAGGCCTGCCTGCAATGGGACAAAGCTGTTGCTACACTTTAACAGGAAACTTTTTTACTCAGTAAAAACACTCAGAGCCAAAGCTTTGATTTGTGTACCTGACAATAATCGTTCCCACACACAGTTGATTCTGCACGGTTTAATCTTACCTGTCTCCCTGTTGCATGAAGTCCAGAATGAAACGTTCATATCTTAGTGTGACCTAATGACTGACGTCTGTGGCGAAGCTTTCCCAGACCACAAGCAAATTGTAGGTGTGTGAGAGTGTGAGTGTGGGTGTCAGGGGGTTTGGCTTGGCTCCTGTCTGGGCCAATATCGAGTAAATTACAAGGCAGAGACAGTCTGAAGAAGCAAGCTTTCATCCACCTCCTCCTCCTGGCCTGCAGGGCTGCTGGCAGGGCTGAGAGTGGTGAGGTTATTGGGGGATGATCATGCTCCAGATGAAGAGGAGGAGGAGGAGGAGGAGGAGGAGAAGAGATTGATAGGCTGTCAGGGGATGCAGATAATAGATTCCTCACCAGTAGAGTTCTCAGGATGATTCATAGTAAAATAAGTGAGGAAGAAGGTGAATAGACACTTTCTCCAAAAGAAAAGTACCAGACGACCAGATTGTTTTTTCAAAATCTCTTGTTTTTCTTCTCACCTGAAGCCATGTGGTTCATTTGTCTCAGCGCAGCCACATTGCAGATCACTCGGCCCAACCGTGAAAGAAAGAGAAAGGTGCCGAGAGTTCAATGAGATGACTGAAGGCTGATGTGTTTTCTTTGGCCTCATTTGGGGCGAACAGCTGACCACTGCTCTTCCATTAAAGGGTTTCCCCATATGGACTTCTGTGTCCATGAAAACATCTTTAAAGGGCCTTTGTGCATGAATGCTTTTCTTGCACAAGCACAGACTTACGCTAAAAAGTAAGATTTCACTGAGCAAGGTGAAAGGAAGTACTGATGTGTTTTTTGGCCAGAGGGAAGCTAAAAACAGGCAAAAGAAAAGGAGGAGTGGAGCCGGGCACAGAGAGCAGAGCACAGTCTGTGTCCCAGTTGTTGTTGTCAGATGGGTTTTTAGTTTGCTGGAGACCTTGAGGGTGTCACAGCAGGGCCAGCAGTTCATATCTCAGCAGGAAGGCAGGGAGGAGCGAGGCTGACAAACACTGTCCCGGGGATCATATCAGCACTCACTCACTAAGTTTTCACCACAGTACACAGCAGATATGCATCATAATTTGTTGTACTCTCTCAGATATGAAATATTGAATTACTACATGTGATACACACATTGATTAATGCTGAATTAAAGGAAACACCCCAATAAATGAACCGAACAGATGTAGATGCTGCATACGCGGGCTTACTGGTGTGAATGATGCACTATGACATCCACAGTCACCACACCTCAACCCAACTGAGCTCCTGATTATTATATTTTTTAATCATTGTTTTTGCATGGTAAAATACAAGTTGATTTAGGGAGACAAAGAGAAACTTGAGAAACAGGGCCCAGCAGTCCCCTTATGAAACCACACATTTTTTATATGGATCTGCACCAAATTGCACAAACTCAGAGAGAGATATCACTGAAAATGTTGAAAAACGGAATGTTGAAGAGCGTGAAAAATGATGATGCCCCACCCCCCCACAAAATGTCATTGAAATCGGGTGAGTAGTTTTTGCATAATCTTTTTACAAACAAACACAGACAAAAACATAACGTCCTTGGTGGAGATAAAAAGTTAAACCGTGCTTATTATGAAAGGTGCATAAGAAGACTGATACCACTCTCATATGCATTAATGATGAAGCTGGCTCCCTAAAGCAAGGCTGCCTCTGCCTGAAGCTGAAAAATGCATGATGTACCAGCACCTCTGAAGATGACTGACAAAAAAAGCAGGGCTACTCCCCAAATGTTAATCTGCACCTTGATAAGTTCACTCCTAAACTCTGCAGCTGAGGAGAAGACACTGGACAGAGCTTGTTTTCAGGTCAGCGGGGTCACAGCAGAGAGCCTTTAGATCAATCTGGGGTGTTTTATGGGAAATGTCAAATTGAACAAATGACCTCACAGGGATTGCATAAATGTTCCTTGGAAAAGGACTAGTCAGAGAATGCACAGAAGTTGTGCTGCTAAAGAAATCACTGTGCGGCACGTGCAGCAGACTGAGCTTCTCTTGCTGACCTTTTGGTAGCTGCGATCAACAGATGAACTGCGTCTTTTCTGAGTGAAAGAGAATGAGGGTAGCTCCTGGCCGGACTACAAAGCAAACTTTGCAGCGCTTTCAGCCAATTGTGCCTCACAGCATACATCTGGGGTGCAGTTCAGATCGAGTGATCGTCAGAAAAGCTGCCAGGTCATTCACAATCCTACAAAAGTCAGCCAGGTAGGAGAAGACTGGCAGATGTGTTTGTTGACTAAAATGTGGGCTCAACAGTTTCTTATAAAATTCCTCAGACTCTCCTACACGCGTGTGAAACGCTCTCCAAGTCTGAGTCTTTTATGTAGTTAATTATCTGAGTGTCTGACACTTGGACTGATGTTGCTGTATTACATCAAATATTCTGTCTTTGATTGATCCCTTGGACTTTAAGTTCATGGATACAAGAGTAAAAGTTTGTGAGAGACGAAAGAAGTGTGAGATTGTGAGCTCCGGAAAGTGTCCACACAATTGGCTCTGGACTTTTTCTGCTTTGCCTTTCACATGTGAGGGCTGGTGCAACATGCAGACACAGGACGTAACGTACTATTGCCGCAACAGATATCACGTGTTTTTGTTTACAGCCCATCGACAGTGGAATCAGACATTATCGCCAAAAGCTCTCTCGCCATCTTAGCCTGTTCATCCTGAGATATTTGTTTTCTTTTTGTTTATTTGCGTCTGGCATGTGTTAGAACCATTATCAACCCCCCTGGGGGACATTTAAAACAAACCAGTCTACAACACAATAAAAATCACATGAAAATCAACCTCCCTCCTCATCTTTTCATATTTTTTTCTCCTCNCCCCACTCGCTCACGGTGAATCCTCTGCAGAATCTCCTGCTGGTGTGACATCGGTGTGTGTGTCACATTCTCAGCGGACTTTCACTGGAGTTTTTACAAGGGGGCTGGCAGGAGTCTGGAGCCTCTCATTCTGACATTTGCACTCTCACGTACTGCCCCTCCAGGGAATGCCCAGAGATTATCTATTACTCTGTCATTCATTACTGTATAAATCTATTACCATTTTATTTCAAGCCATCAACGCCCCAATAAACAAGCTACACCATAAACACTAAACACCTCCTTTTAAACTCAAACCTTTCCTCCTCTTCCAGCCACTGTGTGAATCATGTGTAACCCGAGAGCTGAGCGTCTCTCCCTGTGCGTAACCTGAGGAGGTGTGAGGGGGAGCAGTGACATTAGTAGAGGCACTGGTCAATGTCTAGAGGAGGAGATTCACCGTATCATGTTGCATTGATACCTTTTGTTTGGCTGCAGGTTATAGGATTGCATTAGTAAACAGGCTAACACTGGATCTGTTGGGCTTGCTTTTTCTGTTTCTCAGGGCTCAGATCTTAATATGAGGTCAATCTTTATGTGCGTCTTTCGACCCAGAACAGTTTTGAATGTTCAGCCGCTCTTACGGCACCACACTGTCGCCATCATGGAAAGCCCATTAGTTCCATTTTTTCTGAGTCTGCAGAGTTCACCTTAATGATGTTAACCGGTGTACGACCACAAAAATGCCAGAGTGGAAGATTTTCTTACCAGTGCCCGTGGAGCTCAGCAGGCTGCCCCATGTGTCGAAGGCATGTTGCTTTTACATTGTAAATCAGAGCGTGAACATTATTTGCTGTAGATCCAGTGACATGTGCCATTACTCATGATCAAGAACGACACTTTATAGTGAGGTGCTAACGTGAGCTGAATTTGCCACTGTTCCCCCCCACCCCAGAACAAAAACAGAGTAATTCCATGATATTGGCAGTGACCTTGAAGTCAGAACACTGTGTACGTGTTTGCTGTTATTTATTTTCTGACCTGCTCTGTCTCTCTCTGGCAGCGGTGTCGAACCTGGATGTGGAGAGTAAGCTGACGACACATTACCAAGCTCCGTGGCACCAGCAGAGGAACATTTTCCACCACTCCACGCGGCCAGTATGTGTAGAAGAGCTCCACAGGCAAGCCACCCTCAGCCTGTGGGCCCTGCATCGAGGTGAGACCCCCAGTACCACTCAGCCGCTCTGACCTCGACACAGAAGAACTCTGAAGTTTACCCTCTATCATTCACAATCAAGGGCACCGCTCCCTTTTTAATTCTTAATCCAAGTCAATGACATTTTCTCTTACTGTGTCTTCCATCATCTAAAAAAAAAAAAACATGTGCTTCCCACTATAAACACACCCCACACTTGTCATACATAGAGTATCATTTTTGTGTTGTTCTGTCCTCTAGTGGACATAGCTTGTACTTGCACCGTAGATGGAAATTGAGTGGCAGAAGTCTGTCCTTAGATGACACATATATCGAATGTGCTTTTGCAGGGTTAGATATAATTCTATAAATACCTGAGTCAATAATAAGTTTGGTAGAAGTTTGTGTGGTTTTTGTTAATATTGAGTTTGTCAAATCCCAAACATTGACAAATTAACAGAAGCTCTCATTATAATAATATATTAAAACACTGTTAACTACACACTTACTTCTTTACCTACTTTGTCTGAAACAATAAAAGCTTGACAATTGCAGTATTCATGTCTGCCCTATTCTACTGATGCTTCGAACTGTATTGTGACCATTAGAGCTTTACTGATTTATCAGGTAGCAGATAAAACTCGACCGTTTATGGTTAAAATGTAAAATATCAAGCCTCAAATTCATATAACATTGTAGGAGTCTTTGCCAATTTTCTTTTTTAAATATACATCAATCAGTCTATAATGGTATTACAAATTATTGAACTGTCTAATATCGGTATCAGCATCTAAATATTCCTATTGGCCAGGCTTCAGTTTGCACCGCTTTAATTTCTGGCCTGGGTTCACATGTCCACATTTCCTAATCTGAACGTAAATGATAAATATATAAGTTTGTCTTGTATTATCCAAGTCTGTATTAAAACCACAGCCCCAGTGTTTGGTCAATGTTATTGTCAACAGAGTTATAGGGGCACCAGACGGAACAAAAAACTGTACTGTGAAGCACTATGACTCATCGAGTCTAGAAAAATGTTATATAAATACAGGTCACTCAGATCTTGGAACCAGTTCCAACCAGAGAACATTGTAAAAGTTACACACGTCATGTTGTTTCACATGATCCTTTTATCGCAGATCACCAGGGCAGACGATCGGGCAGCAGGGAGCGGAGAGTCACTATCTCCATCTCGGCTGTGCCCCCGATGCCCATGTACCCTTCCCCTCACATCATCAAGAAACAAGAGAAAAGGGGCACGGATTTAACCACGGTGAGACGATGCGCAAGACATTTAGTGCGTTTTAATGACTTTAAGGAAGTCAGGGAGCTATTTAATGTAATTATATTTCAACACTTTACATTGTTTCTCCTCTAATTCTGTTTTTATTTTTCTGAACAAGCATTTAACTGTATTAACTTGTTAAATAGAGAGCGTACCCTCAGTGTTTTTTTTAATTCTCTGTTCCTTTTCTTTTTTAACTGAGATTTTATTTGATGAGGATGAATGGCATACTTACTATTTATGCACATTGTGTTGTATTGAATTTACACTTCTTCCCCCACAAGCAGCCAGGAGATACAGCTACACAGTTAGCACAACCACAGGTAAAGAGGAAAATGTTTGTGTGTGCAGAGCAAGGTTGTTAAAGATTCACATCACAGCTCTGGATTTATATTTACTTCTCATCAAACATGCAACATCAGTTGCTATCATCAAAATAATGTCACAGTCCATGTGCTCCTCCTCACAGATTTTGTTGCTGTTTTTTTGTCAAAGTTTATGTTCATGTCATAAACCTCCATGTTAATTTCTGTCGTGTCTTTGTTGTCCTTTTTTTTCCTTTTGCCCTGTAATTCAGTTTGAATCCACCCGCTCCTCCTCCCCCACTGAATGTTGTCACTTCTCTCCCTGGAGCAGAAAGGTATTGGTCCCTCCCTCCCTCCCTCCCGGCTCCTTCTAACGCTGTATTTCACAACTCCTTTACCTGTTCTTGTTTGACTCTGTCTCATTTACATAACAAATCTCTTCTTAAATGCATGCCCACTGAGTATCTACCCAGTTTTTAAAATGGGGGAACAAGCTTGCTGTGAAACTGAATTTAAAGTTTTGTTCATGGTTACACGTCATACATTTACATGCTCAGACAGTTGTTGTCGGGGTTCGTGTGACGGTTTGCAGTATGTGTGGAATGTGTGTGAGGGCCACAGTCACAGACCGGGCGGCCTGGGTTTCTCTAATGATAGGGTTGACTTCTCGAGGCTTGTGCCTGTGATTACCCATGATTCCTCTGTGCTGCGGTTTCTGCAAATGCACACATCCCTGAAAAGAGCTGACAGCCTCCTGTTTCTTTTCCCCGTGCTCACCAAATATATCATGTTTGATGCGCGCTGTGAGAAAGAAATGACGCCATGGACAGCGCCAAACACCAGACGCTGCCCCTCCTTTTTTATCTCCTTCTCATGCTGTATGTGTCCACTCTTCCTGCCTGTCCGACATCGTCTCTTTCTTTCTTTCTTTCACTCCATCGTCTCTCTCATCCTTCCCCCTCTAAAACACTCTTAAAACCGCCTTTCTGTCCTCGAAACAAATCAGCTGTAAATGGTCTGCCCTTTGATTTCCCTTTTTTTCTATTAGTTGGGAGAAGTTTCCAAGGAAACTGGTTTCTTTTGTGGCCGGGGTTTTTGTCGGGGTCTCATTGGTCTGCTGGGAACAGAGAGCACAAAGGCTCAAGAGCTGGCTTTAAATGGGGGTGGGAGGTTGTCGGGTTGTGGAGATGGGAACCAGTTGAGCCTGAGAATCATTCCCAGTTTCACATGTGCCTCTCTGTAGGAATCTTAAGGTAAGACTTTAATAGACTTAATTCATTTAGCATGAAGGTAGAAGTTACAGGGGATCTCCTGTATTTAAGCTGGAGGCCTGAGGAGGCCCATGGAAAAAAGGCTATGGAGTCACCAGAGGGGAGGACTGGGCAGTGATTGATGCTGACGCTCAGAGGAATGCTGCTGTGAAGTATTTCCTCTCAAATATTTCCGGGAAACACACATAGGTGCCAAAAATTGATGAAGCATGAGCTAAGAGTTTCCAAAGCAGCTTGTCGTGACTGGAAATGACTGTTTGTCACATTTCTGTCGTTTGTTGTTGAGTAAAACATCTCTCTCACACAAAGCAGAATTAGTGTTAAACATGTGTTGTACAGTTTGTACCAAACCTGTTATGAGTCTAATGTGTTTGTAGGCTTGGATACAGTCCAGTGTAACAGCAGTTTCTGATTTTAACCTGTTTCAATTTCTGAATGTCTCTCTTCTTTAATTTGCATGAAATCTGATTCTTGTTCTTTTTGTTGTCTCTCTCTAAAGCATGCTTTTTTTATTCTCACTACTGCTGCACTTCTACATGAAACTCAGCTGATGGAAGGGCATGTTCATTGATTAACCTCTGCTCAGACAGTAAGCAGTCTTTGCTGCAGATTAATGTCAAACTAATCCTTACACCGAGCCTCCAGCTCTTTCCAGACAAGCACTTTTAACAGCACCCGTCAAATCCCTGACTTTAATCACAGCACTCTACACATTTCCCTCTCTGCAGCTGAGTTTGATCTTTATTTGGTTTTTAACTCCGCTGTTCCATTTCTCATGTAATGCCACCTAAACTTCACACCCTAACCATGCAAATATCCATCTGTTGCAGGCTGCGCCCTCTGACCCCGACACTGACGGGGTGGCTCTAGGTCACCGGTCTAAGTTTCCCATCCCTAACATCCCCTCCACCCTGGACAAGCAGACTAACTGGTCTGAAGCCCTGCCGCTGCCCACCCCAGAGGAACGAATGAAATGCAATTCCCAAGTCATCACCTCATGTGTCATCCCCATTAATGTGACTGGTAAATTTAAAGCACTTTATGTTTTGTGTCTGACATAGAGTCATCTCTTTGACAGCTCCTCTACAGAAATGCCATCTTTTTTAACTCTTCTGTAGCTTCTCTTAAAGGAATAGTTTTACATTTTAGGGGAAAAATAGCTTAGATGAGAAAATTCATAGCAGTCCCATGTGTGTCTGGTAAATTCAAAGCTACAGCCAGCAGTGAGTTAGGCATAAAGAGTGCAAACAGCTCACCATGTTTATTGTCCAAAGCCAAAAAACTCAATTATTAATGTATTTTATTGTTCGATCTATTAAACATTTTCTGTTTAATTTATAATTCACAGTTAGTATCTGACATTAAACCAAGACATGTCATTTTTACATTATTGTTTGTGTGAAGAAATTAATTAGAAATCTTTGGAGGGGCTGGCCAGAGGATTTTGTGACCTTCGACATGTTAGCTGTTTCCACCTGCTTCCTATCTTAATGCTATGCTAAGTTTAGCTATTCATCACCGGGCTCTAGTTTGATGGCACAAAGACACGAGGGAAGCATCAATCTGTCATTGTCTAACTATCGGCAGAAAAAGAACTCAGCTTATAATGATCACACTGCTAAACCCACTGACACATTGCATCTTATTTATTGTACAGAGTCAACAAACAATATATAGCATGTTGATTATTTAGCATTTGAGGTGCCAGTAGGTGTGTGTGTGAACACTCGACACAGCCGAGCCTCTATTAACAGTCTTCATGCAAAAAGCTGGTCATGTTCATCATCCATCTCTAATTCAAATTATTATGTACGGCACCGTGCTATCGCTTCTCATCTATTGCAGCAATTACTATGCAATGTTTATTTCCCTGCATTACAAAACACATATTAAATACAAATAAACAGATTCTCAAGGAATCTGTAAATTCTGCTTTTCATTTATAAAATGTCCTCATCGTTGTCATTGATTTTGCTGCAGAGAATCAATGTCAATGTGCAAGTCATGCCTCGAGCCCTGTTCGCTGTCTTTCTCGTGCTTTGACCCTTTGTGCCTGTGCAAAGAGCAAGTAGCTGCGACATGAATGCTAATGAGCTGTGTCCAATAAGTTGAAAATGTTACTTCTTCGCGCTCGGATTGACTCAGAGAAGAGTTATACACGGAAACGCACTGAGCCAGAGACAGTTTAGGGTAAAAAAATGCACATTGTAAGCAAAGTCCTGCAATTGCTATGGTGCTGAAAAGCCTGACCTGCCATCACATGACAGTCATTACGTATGGTGAGGGAGAGGCTGAAAGACGAGGAGGAAACGCAGCGCAGACACAGAAATAGGATTTTCTCCTTGGTTAGGTAACATCCACATGTTGACATGTTTTCGGTGAGGGTCAAATACATTTATTTTTATTTCTTTAGTTTACATTTACCAATCCGAATGTTTAGGCTTTGCACAAAGAAGTGAAGATTCCTCTTTCTTACTCCAGGCACCAAGTTTGTCTCACTGTCTTTCTTAGAGCTCCATCAGGTCGCTGACCTCCACTCCTCACTGTGACTGTTGGGGTGTTTGATTCAGTTCTTTTTTTTGGAGACAGTGTGAGAGTTAAAGAAGGAATCGCTGCAGTTGCCACTAAACAAAGATTCCTCTGATGTCGTGTCTCTGTTGCAGGGGTTGGCTTTGACAGAGATGCTAGTGTGCGCTGCTCGCTCGTTCACTCCCAGTCTTTGCTTCAGAGAAGGAGGAAGCTGCGGAGACGGAGGACTGTCGCTGGCATTCCCAGACAGGTGCAGCAAGATTTAGGTAAGTTACTTTATCTGACTCTGCTTCACAAACACATGTGAAGATTTTGTTGTACAGGTTGTGTTTGTGTAATTTACTGTAATGTCAGACATAATGTACGGTTCAATGTTGAGGGTCTAAATCCCATATTGTAGCGTTATTACATTGGCAAATGGTGCTATAAGTAATTTAAAGTATTTCAGTGCCATTGTGTTATTATCTAAGTACTTAGTGTACTTTTGAAGGAAATCTGAAAGAGCAGCTATATGATGTCAACATGAATATGAAAGACATCAACCAGTGACTAGAGGAATATTTTTAGTCTGTTTAAAGGTATTTCGGGGCATTTCATGCTTTTATTAGACACTTGAAAGTCGTAAGATGTTTCAATCAATAAAATGACATAATCTCAGCCCTTAATCTGTAGTTGTGTTCAGAGTTTTGTTGCATTTTCTAATGTTTATCATCCTCTTTGTCTCCCAGACTCGGATGACTCTCCAAGTTCTAGAGAGCGGACAGTGATCGTTCATGTCAGTCCAGACATCACTCCCTCTAATGAGGAGCTGGCCAGCCATTTCAGCACCAGAGACTCAGGTTGCCAGACTGAAGACTTTCTGATCTCAGGAGCCCCATCACGCAGAAGGATCAGGGCCCAGAGAGTCCAGGGAGTCTCCCTCTCCCTCTCTTACTCTGCAGGCAACATCTCCTCCTTGCCGGACAGAGCTGACGCCATGTTCACTGCCTCTGTTGGCCCACACCTGCGCTCCAGGAGTCTGCCTCGAGATACCAGCAGGATGATGGATAATGGGCAAAATGACAGCTATGATGAGGAGGAGCTTTCCCACTTTGACCCAGAGAATTTCCTCCCTGTACCCGGGAAGTTGCTTCTGAAGGATGAGGAGGAGAGCACAGATGACCAGGCCATTTCTGAACACCAGTTGGGCATCAAGTACAAGCAGCTCTCTGAGAGTCCGGAGCGCAGCTGGATGGAGAGGACCAGATCCCAGCTGCCCAGGAAGGCCGACATGGGCAGCTGTGAGATCTCCTCTAGTTCAGACACCTTCAGCAGCCCTGTCCACTCCGTCTCTGTTGCAGGGGTGCTGGCAGGCCAGATGGACCACAAGGAGGACCATCAGTCTTCCAGCGGAAACTGGAGCGGGAGCAGCTCCACCTGCCCCTCACAAACCTCAGAGACCATCCCACCTGCAGCCTCTCCACCTCTGACTGGCTCCTCACACTGTGACTCTGAGCTCTCCCTAAACGCTGCCACTCACAATAACGACGACCCGACCGGCTTCTTGCTGGACCACTACCAGGGCGTCCGGACCCAGCGGACGGGCTCTTTCTCCTCCACAGCGATGGACATATTAGAGGAAGCAGGGGTCAGCACTCCCATCGAGCAGGAGTGGAGCTACTCCCACCCCGAGCCTCCGCGCCCGCAGGACTTCAGCCCAGAGCCAAACAGAGAAACTGAGAGCAGCCTGGGATGCCCGAGCTTCACGAGCATGGCCACCTGCGAGAGCAGCTTCTCTGACAAACCGCCGTCAGAGAAGGCAGACACTGTGTCACACTACTCTGTAGACACTGAAGGGTACTACACCTCCATGCACTTTGACTGTGGTCTGAAAGGTAGCAGAAGCTTTACTTATAACTATGCAGCCTCTGGCTCCGACTGTGGCCTGTCTGACTTGAGTGGTCACATGTCACTGGCGAGACGCTGCCTCTCTTTAAGAAAGCCAAAGGTGAAGCCGTCTCCACCGAAGAGGAGTTCATCCTTAAGGAAAATATGCAGTGACGGGAACATCAGTGACAAGAAGGAACCAAAGATTACATGTGGGCAGCAACGTCCACTGTCTTCCAAGGAGAGGAGACTGCAGCTAGCTTTGTCTGGCTCTCCGGGTCTTATAGAAAACTCTTCACTGTCCAGAGAGCCCTTTGTGGTCTGGGGGGTGGAGGGCTCAGTCGAGCTACCCGAACTTGGTGTTTTTAGCTCAACCGATACACATTCGTTCAAGGATGAGGGGGTCGTTCAGTCGGACTATGCAGATCTGTGGCTGCTGAATGATTTAAAATCCAGCGATCCTTACCGATCTTTGTCAAACTCCAGCACAGCTACAGGTACAACTGTTATAGAGTGCATCAAGTCGCAGGAGAGCTCAGAGTCGCAGACATCCCAGTCTGGCTCCAGAGCCACCACTCCCTCACTGCCATCAGTCGAGGGCGAGTTTAAGCTGTCCTCTCCAGAGAAGTTGGCGGGCCTGGCCAGCCCATCCAGCGGCTACTCTAGTCAGTCAGAGACCCCCACCTCCTCATTCCCCTCCGCCTTCTTTCCTGGGCCACTGTCACCATCCAGTGGTAAGAGGAAGCCCAAAGTCCCTGAAAGGAAGTCGTCTCTTTCATCTTTGTCCCTGCAGTCGCTGTCCTGCGTGGACGGAGCCACCTCGAAGAGAGACCTGGAGCTGCCCATAATCCCTCCCTCCCACCTCGACCTAAGTGCCCTTCAAGGTGTCAACAAGGCCTCGGCTTACAGGACCCAGATTCAAATTCTTCACCAAAACAAACAGAAGGCTGCAGTGTCAGCCAAAGCTGCTCCCTGTAACTCAGAGGTGTTCAACACCCGCCCCCTGTCCATCACACCCACCGTGCTGCACTCGGTGCAGCTCCGATCCATCAATAAAGACACAGAGGAAAGTCATGAGGACAGAACCACTTTCAAACTGAAATGTCCGACAGTGAACTTGAAAAGCACACTTTCCAATAGTAAATCATTAGAGCTCAAGAGTCCACTGATATACAGCTCACATCATCATTACACATCCTCGCAGGAGTTGTCTAAATCAATGTTTGGCTCTAATGAGGAGCTTGCATGTGGAGATGCAGCATGGCAGGGTGAGCTGAGGACCGAGCAGGACGCAGAGTCTCCTCTAGAGAGTGTGACAGTGTGCAGACTGCAGTCAGAGCCGTCAGCAGACGTCCGTGAGACAGCCTCGAGCCAGGAAGCAGAGATGTGCAGACAGTCAGTAGAAACACCTCTCTGCTCTGTGGACTGCAGCTCGCAGTCAGAGCCCGTACAACAGCCGAGAAGTGAGCCCCCTGAAGAAGAGCTGTGTTCAAATCCCTCTGTTCTGCACAGTTCACCCAACACATCCGACAGTCTTGAAGAAGTGCCTGCTACTGATGGTCAATCAGAGTCGATGCAAGAGAGTCCAATCAGAAATGAAGATTACAAAGAGGAGGAATGTGACTCGTCAGGTGCTTCAGCAGAAAGTGTCTCCCAGGACGGGACCACACCAGAGACAGAGGATTACTTCAGTAAAGGTATTTTATTGGGCTCATGCACATTTATTTGTTATGGGTTGTGACATTTATCGTCAAGTACAACAGAGCGTTGAACAGGGGAACCAGTCATATTTATTTTGTTATGAGTGAACAGTTTTTAGCTGTTTAAATTGAACTGTTGATGAATGAGACAAATCTGAGAAGACATATGATTGACAGGAGAGGAAAAATATTTTTTAAACTGCTGTTGCCCCGTTCTTTACCTTTTTGCATTCCCTGGATAGTTGCACATCTCAAAGCCACTAAAATTATTTTTTGGAAAACAATAAATTGATCAGATTTACACATTTGATAGAAGGAAAGGGAGTTTTATTCAATGTGCTGTATGGGGAGACATTAGAAGAAAACTATTCAAAATCAGAGAGCACCATTTGAAGCAAACTTCAAGTAAAACAAAACAACACAAGTAAAGTAGATAGAACTGTGTAAAATAATACAATAAAATACAATGTTGATATGATGAAAAAGAGTTTCTCAAAAAAATGTGATGATGTGTTAAAATATTAAATAAACGTGTTTTTGAAGAAAAAACAATCCCTAACAAGAAATGGATATAAGTTTCTGCTTTGCTGACATGCTGAGAAGTTGCTGAATATACTGTATATGCAGTGTATTGAAGTGCTGACTGATTTGCGTTACAGACTCCACACCCAGTGACACTGTAGCGTCCACACTGAGTGATGAGTCGCGGCCAGAAGACGACATTGTGTTTCTGTCACCCACCAAAACTCGCACCACTGAGGATCTGTTTGCGATGATACACAGGTGAAGGTTTTCTGCAGCACCTCCTTTGTGTTTGGGTTTTGTGCGTTCACAGAGATTCTTAACTGAGATTCTTTCATCCTCAGGTCCAAAAGGAAAGTGTTGGGTCGGAAGGACTCCGCTGAGTTAGGTGCGAGGAACCGTCTCAATGCTACATTGGGACCTACGCCACCCAGCAGCACCATCAGCTCCCCAGTCTCAGTGGTGTCGACCCCCACCGCCGCGACCCCACCGGGCCCACAGAGAGTCCCCGTGCCCATCTACAGGAACGTAAAGAAGTCCAGCACCTCCAACGAGGAATTTAAACTGCTGCTGCTCAAAAAGGGCAGCCGCTCAGACTCCAGTTACCGCATGTCAGCGACAGAGATCCTCAAGAGCCCCATCGCTCCTAAATCTCCGGGAGATTCTCTGACGGAGTTGCCCGGGCAGCCGGAGGAGCTCGCCTCCCCCTTGCAACAACAGCAGCATAATTCAGGGCCGGATCAGCTCTCCAGCCCCTACCCCAAAGCCTATGCTGAGGGCTTCTCTCCCAAATCCTACCCCACATCTGCTGCGTCCAGGCAGGGCCGCTCCAGAATCCCCCCACCCGCCAACAGCAGCCGCTACGGCATGCGCAGCAGACTGTTCTCAGCACCCATGCAGGCCATTTCTGAGGGTGAGACAGAGAACTCAGACGGAAGTCCTCACGATGACCGCTCGTCACAGGGCTCCACGTAGAATACAGAGTATAAATGTCAAAGGTATGAAATTATTTTTTTAGTTTAAAGATCAAACTATGGACCATAGTGAGTTATAATATATACTAGACGTGGTGAGAGGCAGGAGCATTGATGAGGATCATTTGGTTACACAGAAGACTAGAGGAAAACCTATGCTGTTAAAAAATCCTAATTGAACTAGATCTGGATGAGTTTTAGAGCTGTTTCCTATTTGTGTTTTTTTGTGGATATTTTAAACCTGTGTTTATCTGTGTTCAGAAATATTTTATACATATAGTAATTCTAAAATTGGAATGAAATGTTAGGATAAGAACTGGGTTATTTAGCAGCTGCATTTTGTAGATGATTTATGAAAATAAATTACAGGTCAAACATTTCTTCAGTTCCTCAGAAAACACAAGCTGGTTAGTGTATGGCACATTGCCCAAAGCCATATATGACACCCAGCTGACTCCCAACAAAACAAGTATGTTCATGTTTGATCTGTTTTATCTTCACTGTCGACAAAAACTCTGAACGTACATTTTTTAGATTTATTGTAAAACTGTATGTATTCTATGAATACCTATGCAATTAGACACACAATTTGTACATCTCCTTACACCAGTTTTACCTAAATTATTTTGATACCCACAACTGAATATCAGGACAAACACAAACAGCACAATGCATCTACTCAAAGTCCTGGGAGACATCTGATGTAATGTGTTTATATACTGCCCTCAGTCCTTTTTAAGAGCATATATTAATCAAATCAATGAAATAGTGAATTATTACAATATTTTAAAGTTCTAATGCAATAACGAGACGGATTAGAGGTGAGACAAGAATGTCAGAGCCAAGCACTAAGTTGACAATCTCTGGAGAAAAGGAGGGAGCAGGTGAAAACATGGGAGAAAAATAAGTGATCAAAAAGTTGCAGGAGGTGAAACAGGAGAGCTTTAGGAGAAAGATGGAAAAATGTAATAAAGGTCATTCATGGTTTACTGACTGAATTGTTGAAAGAGGCGAGTGGAAAGTGTTCAGGAGGATCAGAAATACAAATACAGACAGTAAAGCTGTTTTCAGACATGAACTGTGAAGATTGGGTCCAGACTGCGTTCACAGCAACACAGAAATTGATTCACTCAGATGAGGGGGGGTGGAGCAGGCAGACATAACATATGAATTCAGCTGTGGAGATCACGTCAGCACCGACATCAGCCCCCAATCACCAAAAACTCTCTTGACATCTTTCTCTGTGTCTTCGACATGTGTGAGATATTTTTATTCTTTTAGCTTGTAAGAAACATCATCAACACCCAGAACGTCCTTGGATAATCCAGAGTTCAGTGCATGTCTGAAAGCAGCTTTTGTGACCAAGCAGCGTTGGGCCTCAGCAAGTCAAGTGTTTCAGTTTCGATGGAGGACGTAGGGTCACATTTGGAGCCAGGTTATCGTCTGCGATGAAAGTTCTAGATCTGGAGACGTAGCATTTGCTGCTATTTTGTACCAGATGTATGTGTATTTTACTCCCTGTCAAAACAACTGTCACATTTTCTATGTGAACTAATCTTGATATATTTATTTTTATACCCAGCACAGAAAATCTCCCTGATTTGGTTTTAAACCCTGAAATAACCCCCCCCCCAAAAAAAACTGAACATTTTTATGAAAGTATGCAAATTAATTGCTGTAATTTTTAAACCTATTTTATTCAAATGCTTATTTTGTTAATGAGAGACAAATAAACAATTTATTTGAGAAATTGTCTTGCAGAGACAAATAGGAAAAGAACTCATTAATTGTCATTAAAAGATGACACACACAGCCATAAGCTAGAAGAGAGGTTATAGCTGTAACCCTGGTACTCTGAAGCAGTTTTTCTGTCCCACATATTTACAACACTTTCTTAAGTAAACAAATAGTGTTTATTGCAGTGATCGACAATTATGCAAAGCTGATGGAGTCTATGTAGCCATATGACCATGTAGAAGACTGTTCTTCACTACTGGTGCACTGTAGGTGTCTTCATTTTGGCCTTAATAATGACGCTCCACTCTGAAGCAGTTACACACATGTATAACAGGGTACACAGTGGGTTACGTCTGGTAACCTTCATTCCAACATTTGATTTTTCTTTGCACTGATAAAGTGATGTTTCATTGGTCTCTCGCTGTACCTGGACATATTTATAGACTTTTACATGGAGCTGTTTGACTCTTCTTTGAAATATATCCTCACTCTGAGTTCGCTGTAGGAGTGGTGTAGATGCTTCTGCCAAAGGCTACAACACGTACGTGTTATTGGCATCGAACCGTTTTCTTCCTGTCTTGTTTACGTGGCTCAAGCGTTCTTGAAAACACAAACCAACACTAAAGAAGCATTAGTGTAACTTAAGGTACTAGATGCATTTCATGTCAGATCAACCTCTATAGTATATTGTTGTTTTTTTGTACAAAAATGTTGTAAATACAATAAGTTTTGTAAGTGTCACAAAGGTTGTTTGAATTGTTTTTTATGTAAAAAAAATATGTTTTGAAAGTTTACATTCATTTCAGACCTTTGTATATGTTTGAGCTGTGGAACACTTTGTCTTGTATTTATTTTTTAGTAAGCATTGTGGAAATCCCATAGTAAATCCTATCAAAGCCAACTGTGAGCACGACAGGCTGCTTAGCAAATGTGTATAAAACAGACAAATAAATGTGACTGCTTTGAAAATGAATACGTTGCTCTGGGGTGAGGTGAATTTATTTTTCCTTCTGTCTGTGATGTTTTTTTACTGAAGCACAAATTTCCATTTGCTTTACAACTTTACTTCTCTGTCTGTACTTTTTACTTTCCTACATTTAGTTGACAGTGGTAGTCACTCGTCACTTCACAGTTTATGAGTTTATTTACAAAACACGTGATGACCTTAGAACATTTTATTCAATGTTTTAGACAAACACTATAAATAAATCAATTTGAATTAGTTTAAACCTGAGAAACCATCATTGAAAATCCTACTTAAACATTAAGTGGCCATATTTTTACATTAAACAGAATATTTTGCTGACAATATTAATGTACTTTCATTTATTATTTATGTCGCTATTCTTATTCCTAAATGTATATTTGTTACTTTGTTTTCAATGCTTCCCCCACTGTATGTGTCTTATACCTTCAATACAGATGAAATATATGGCTTTTCATCTTTTTACAAATCGAAATGTCATCACATGGATTTATTATGCAGAGAGCACTCTTTACACGGCAGATGTTCTTTACTGAAGTCTCAGTTTAGTCTCCAAACCTTTAGATGGCGCCATTTTTTATATCAAACCAAGATGATAAAATATTTTGCCTCAGGATGGTAGAATTATGAAATAAATGAATAAATCTCCTCTAAATGAAGGACTTCGACACACACATATGGTGATGTTTCTAACAGACTAAAACAACAATGAAACACCTGCAGGGTTTTGAGAAATGTTCTCTAACGCCCCCCTCAGGCTGTAGGGTCCTGTGGTTTTCTACAGAAAGCTGTGGGGTCTCACCACAGAACGTGCACTAGAGGGTGTTCTTTAGCTAAATACGCACGCGGAGGTCCGCTGGGAAATGTTGTAAATTTATTTTAGACCTCTTTGTGTTCTGCACAGAAAAATGACATAGCTGTGATTTTTTTCTAGCATCTGGACGAGTTCGCATCAAACTAACAGACTCAACTCTTAGATGTGGTTATGCACATGTCACTTCCTGCATGTGTTATGTCAGGTTCATGATGACACTCAAACACCAAAGTCAATGTGAAATCCCTTAAAGCTCTGGCAAATGTCAGTGGAGCCTGCGACAGACAGAAACGCCTTGTTCTCAGTCAGTACACGTCCACTGAGTTCAGACTGTGTATGAAGGGGAGAAGGAGGTAAACAAAGCTCGGGACTGTTGGACACCCATCAAACAGCACACTGACCGTGAACCCTGACCTCAGTTACCACTGGAGACTGGACGACTTGTTCTGAGTGGTAGGTGGTGCAGAAATCAACCATTGTTGATGTATGATGTACATGTATGACAACTGTAATGTGTGTAATGTGTCCCAGTGGTACAATAAATGGAAATAATGATATATGGTCCACTCTCTGACACCTAACCACAGGGCTTTGATGGTGGTTAACTACAGACATGTCTGTCTCACAGTGTTTGTCTTTGTGTTGTACAGCAACCTTTGTGTCGCTATTTGCCCCCTGGCTCCCAGACACTGCAGTCGATATTGTATAGGCCTTAAAAGCAAATGTCAACCCAACATGATTTTTTTTATCATCATCTCATTAAGAAGAACGTGGACAAAGGTAAGTAAATCCCTTTTTTTAAAAGAACACACAACCTATCAGCAGTGATCAGCCAAGTGCGTCCAACTTTCATGTGTGGGCAGCAGAGAACAAAATTTCATTTTTAACTCAATCCCAATCTCATTGACTAGAATCCAAAAATTAATTTATTTCCCTCCCCGTCAAATCTTGGTCGATCTGTCCAAATGTTTTGCTCACATTCAAACAACTCGTTTTGAGGCACCTGAATGAATATGTGTAAATTGCATCTTTCTGTTGAATTTATAATGCATTTTACTTCATGTTTTGTCTGAACACACGATAACAAGACTTTATTATATAAAGATTTTCAACCCTGGACAGGGTCTTGATGAAATTAAATAGGAGATTCGACACCTCTCCCCAACGCAATCATTAAAGCACAGCCCCTGAATGCAAAGCGTGGTCAAAGACAGAGGTGTCACAACATTCTGCCTTGCTCTATTTGTAATCATATCTCTTCTGTATTTCAGATCCAGTTCCCCTCACAGGACGCTGACTACCTCATTCCCTTCACCTGAGCCTCCCCCCACACTCACCTGCTCCTCGTTCCCTCATTACTTCCTCTGGGTATTTATACCAGTTAGTTCCATTCACTCTCTGCCAGAATGTCTCGTGTGTTCATGCATAGTTATCTAGCGTTCTCGTCCTGTATTCTTGCCTCCCTGTTCCTGGCCTGTTTTTGACCCTGTTTGGATTCTGGATTCTCTTTTTGCATGCCCCTTCAGATTTGTTTGCTGTTGGACAGATACCCTGGTTGAGAAAATAAACATCTTGTTCTATGCACTTGAGTTTGTCTGCTGTCGTGCTTTGAATTGGTACTGACAATCGTGATGTATCTATGGATCTGACTTTAGCACATTATAAGAGCAGCACATGTAACCCTTGTTCTGAGCTGTGTTTCCACATATGAGTAAGACTGACTGTGCACAGGATGGGGGAAGGGACATAGAAAGAGGTACGATAGTCGCCACCAGGGCATATTGTGAGGCTCATTACAGTGCATTAAACAGTGTCCCTGCGGAACAATGAGAGGCCCCCGGGGCCCCTGAGGCTGTGCCTGAGGCTGGTGGGGACTGATATGGAGACCCAGGGGATCCTGCTCACCAGGGTCTGTCGCTGCCACACTCTCATCCCCATCTGCCAAACCCCATTTTTCTCTGCCTCTGTCATCAGCCCGTCACCAGGATCCTACTGTGTAGAGATAGTTTCAAATAAAGAATCAACACTGTCTTTACCTTGATCATGTGTTTTATCTCTGTACAATCCTCCTGCCTTGTTATATTCAAACGTTACAGGAAGGTAGCAGGTGCCAAGGTAAAACTGGGGTCAAACGTTCTACACCTATATTTGCAGTGACCCAGGATTAAAAATCCCAAAGACCAATGGAAAAACAAGAGCAAATGACAAACCAAAGAAACCCAACAACATGTAATACACAACAACAACCAACAATACACTGCTGTGTTTTGTTATGTGCTGTTTTGTCTTTTTGATTTGTCGTTGCTATTGCATTTGCTGTTGTGGTTTCCATTTATCGTTGTAATTTGCACTTCAGGTCCATTGTAAATTGTGCACATGATAAAAAAATAACCAAATTAAAAGA